CCAGAGAGGGGGTGACCAATGAGAGCAGTCACAGAGGGGATGACAGGAGACGGGCCCTGTGCCTTGCCTTTGCCTGTGCTGTTCCTTCTGCCAGGAGAGCCATATGGAGTAATTCACAGAACTTCCCCTCCCCCGTAAGTAATGGTCTAGATGTTGACATCCTGCCTTTCTTCTCTAGGGCCCAGGAAATGCCTGTTGAAATAAATTGCATTTGCTGGAAAGCCACCACGAACCATGCAAATTGTCAGACTGTTCTTTCCCATGTGGGTATGAAATCTGCTTTGGAGCATGGGCCCAGTGGGGCTGCAGCGAGCGCACCACCTTCCAGGACCACTCTCCAGATGACTAAGAGCTGTGGACTGAGACCTAGTCACTGAGGGCCCTGAGGCAAACCTGTGCCTGGCTCCCTAAGCCCCAGGTCCTCCTGGGTAAGGGGTGCCCCTGGAAAGCAAGTAGTGGGAGTTCACCCCACCAGTAACTATGCCAGTGCTTTATCTGTCCTTTATTGCAGGTAGACCAAAGTGGCCACAGGCTTTCTACTCAAGGTTCACAACCAGATGACCAGCTCCAGTTTACTGATGGGAGAGAAACCCACTGGTTTAGAGAGTTTAAGAATTTCAGCCTAGAAGCTGGGCAACGTGGCTCACACCTGTAATCCCAGCACTTTGGGAGGTCAAAGCGGGAGGATCATTAGTGGTCAGGAGACAAAGACCAGCCTGGGCAACATAGGGAGCAACTGTCACTTCAAAAAACATTTTTAAAGAAAAGGCCAGGTGTGGTAGCTCACGTCTGTAATCCCAGCACTTTGGGAGGCCGAGGCGGGGGATCACCGTGAGGCAGGAGTTCAAGACCAGCCTGGACCAACCTAGGTGAAACCCGTCTTACTAAAAATTACAAAAAAATTAGCCGAGTGGTGGTGGTAGGGGCGCCTGTAAGCCCAGTAATCTCAGTGAGGGGCTGAGCAGGGAAACATGGAAACCCAGAGGCGGAGGATTGCAGTGAGCGAGATTGGCGCCACTGCACTCAGCCTTCATGCAAGAGCAAAACTCATCTCAAAAAAAAAAAAAAGAGCCGGGGCATGGGGTGGTACACACCTGGTGGTCCAGCTACAGGAGGCTGAGGCAGGAGGATCACTTGTGCCTGGAAGGGACAAGGGGCTGCAGAGTGTAAGCACATCACTGCACTCCATTCCTGGGCACAGAGTGAGAACTGTCTCTAAATATCATAATGAATTCCCAGCCTGGTAAGGGATCTCTGCTCAAAAAAAAAAAAAAAGAAAGAAACGAAAAAAAATTTGGCCAACACCACCCTGCTAAACAGGGCAAGATTCGAACCCCAGGCAGGATCCCACTCTTCTTTTCACACAGCATCCCAGGGCTGTCCATCTCAACAGATAAGCGGCCATGAGCCATGCGCTTCCTGTCCTCTCAAGAGCTGTTGTGCTCGACCTTAGGGAGGAAAAGGACCTGCCAGGGTGCTCGGAGGAGGAATGAAAGGGAGCACTGGGGCTCAGAGGCGGAAGGGTGCTCAGGGGTCAGGAGAGCCTAAGGCAACAGGGGGCCAGGCTGTGCTTCAGGGGCGAGGGTTCCAGATGGAGTTGAACTAAGCACGGGCAGGTCAGACCACGTAGGGCTCTTTTGTTCCCCGCTTTCCTCCTCATGCCCTGGCCTCTGAAAGGCTTCTCCAACAGGTCGGGAACAGGAGACCAGAAATAATTGGCCTCGGCTGGCGCAGTGGTTTAAACCTGTAATCCCAGCAGCTTGGGAGCCAAGGGTGGGCAGATCACAAGGTCGGAGAATCAAGACCATCTTGGCTAAAACAGTGAAACCCTGTCTCTACTAAAAGTACAAAAAAATTAGCCAGGCGTGGTGGCGTGCACCTGTAGTCCCAGCTACTTGGACACCGAGGGCGGAGAGGAATGGCCGTGAACCCGGGAGGGGGAGTTGCAGTGAGCTGAGATCATCCACTGCACTCCAGCCTGGGTGACAGAGCAAGACTCCCATCTCAGAAAAAAAAAAAAAAAAGAAAATAATTTGGCCTCGAAGGCTGCTGGGGCTTTGGGGGTCAGGCAAATTTGAATTCCAACCTCTGCTTGTCTTTTTCTGTCTTACTTTTTTTGGAGATAGGATCTTTCTATGTTGCCCAGGCTGGTCTTGAACTCCTGGGTTCAAACGATCCTACTGCCTCAACCTCTGTGAACTTAGGTTAATTTCCATCTCGGGCTCAGTTTTCTTTTTTTTTTTGAGACGGGGTCTCACCCTCACCTAGGCTGGAGTACAGTGGCATGATCTCGGATCACTGCAACCTCCGCCTTCCAGGTTCAAGCAATTCCCCTGCCTCAGCCTCCCGAGTAGCTGGGATGACAGGTAGGTGCCACCACATCTGGCTAATTTTTGTATTTTTAGTAGAGATGGGGTTTCACCATGTTGGCCAGGCTGGTCTTGAACACCCAAGTTTAGGTGATCCACCTGCCTCGGCCACCCAGGTGCTGGGATTACAGGCTTAAGCCCCTGAACCCAACCAATGGCCTCCGTTTTTTTTTTTGTTTGTTTGTTTATTTTGAGATGAAGTCTCGCTGTGTCGCCAGGCTAGAATGCAGTGGCACGATCTCGGCTCACTACAACATCTACCTCCCGGGTTCACGTGATTTTCCTGCCTCAGCCTCCCGAGGAGCTGGGACTACAGGCGCCCTCCACTGCGCCCGGCTAATTTTTGTATTTTAGTGGAGATGGGTTTCACCGTGTTGGCCAGGATGGTCTCGATCCCCTGACCTCATGATCCGCCTGCCCCGGCCTCCCAAAGTGCTGGGATTAGAGGCGTGAGCCATGGCACCTGGCCCAGCCTCTGTTTTTTTCATTTGTAAAATGGGGATGATAACAGTGTGACCTCAGAGGGTTGTGAGATTAACAAACTGCAAGGAGGCGGTTTCCCCAGGCATAGCCAGGAAGAGCTTGTGGGTCTGGGCACAACAGCAGTGGTGGCTGTTGTAAGAAAGCCATTCCCTTCTCAATTCTCTTTTAATCCCTTTGCTTAAGTCCAGGGGCGAGTCTCTGCTGGGTGCTGGCCTGTCTTGAATACCTCTCTACACCTTTTGAATCTTCCTTTTAACAAGGAGAGGGCAGGAGGAGCTCAGCTCTTAGAGGGGCAACAGGACCTACCCAGGTTTTATTACATTGTTTTAGTGTTACTTTTACTGTTGCCTTCTAGTCTCTGAGATACTCGTGTTCCATTTAGGGTGGCAATACAAAGTTTCTCTGAAAAATACATTTGTGATCATGGAAAAGCCAACATAAAGCAAAAGCATTAAAAGTATTATAAGTGGGCCAGACTGGGTGGCTCACACCTGTAATCCCCACACTGTGGGAGGCTGAGGCGAGTAGATCACTTGAGATCAGAAGTTCGAGACCATCCTGGGCAACATGGTGAAACACCGTCTCTACTAAAAATACAAAAATTCGCCAGGCATGGTTGTGCACGCCTGTAGTCCCAGCTACTCAGGAGGGTGAGGCAGGAGAATCGCTTGAAACCAGGAGACAGAGGTTGCAGTGAGTCGAGATGGTGTCACTGCACTCCAGCCTAGGCAACACAGTGAGTCTCAAAAAAAAAAAAAGAGTATTGCTAGTGCAGAAAGGGTCCACATTCATTCATTCCTTTTTTTTGTTTGTTTTGTTTTGAGACAGAGTCTGGCTCTTGTCACCCAGGCTGGAGTGCAGTGGCATGATCTAGGCTCACTGCAACCTCTGCCTCCTGGGTTCAAGTGAGCATGTCCTGCTGATTTTTGTATTTTGTAGAGAGGGAGTTTCACCATGTTGGCCAGGCTGGTCTTAAACTTCTGACCTCAGGTGATCCACTTGCCTTGGCCTCCCAAAGTGCTGGGATTACAGGCCTGAGTGCTTGCCTGGCCTCTCCTTTCCATTTTAAGATGGGAGAAGTAACAGCCTGTGATGAAAGCGACCCGGGGAGAGTGGAGAGAGGGCAGAGTTTTGGGATCAGTGTTGGCTTGAAGGGTCGGGTCGGGATCTTGTGAAGGGGGTGGTCGTGGCCAGGAGCTGGATGGGTTCAGCCTGGTCCCAGGACGGAAGGGAGTGGGTGCTACCTCAGCAGGTGGGTGGGGGAGCTGGTGGCAATTTTCTACTGATTCCTTCATTCGAAGTGTATTTATTAGGCACCCACTGAGTGCCAGGCTCTTTCTCAGGGCTAGGATAGAGGTTCCATTTTCTCAGGGCTAGGATAGAGGTTCCATTTTCTCAGTGGCTTAGGCACCGGATCATCAGCGGAGTGAGAGGATGGGCGTCAGCACTCAAGAGGTCACCCAATGGTTTCATTTTTTGCAGTCTTTGTTGTCCCAGAGGAATAAGAACTAAAATCACTAGGATTGTGACATGCTGGAAATACGGCATGTTCCAAAGATGATAATATACAGTTTTGTGATACACAAATTGTGTGTGATACATTCCAATTCCTCACATTGAATAAATTACCAATAGCAATATGCTGTGAAGATGGGCGAGATGAGAGTGAAGAGGAGAAGGAATACAGAAGGGATGGGGCGGCGTTAAGGATACAGCAAATAACTGGAATTCCGCAAACACTGAGGTGATGCAGGCACGCCCTTAGCACGGTCCCGGCAGGGGGCGGTGGGGTCAGGCCGACCCGGGTCCCAGGGGTGACAGCGTCCTTTCCCCACTGCAGGACATCGAGGTACTCAACCCTCTGAACCTCAGTTTTCTCATCAGTTAAATGGGGAAAACAGGATGGTAACCCGTAACACTGGCGGCGCGGAGGCCGGGGAGCGATCCCTACCTGTTGGCCCGCGGGCTGGGGACGGTCCGCACCCGCTCCAGGGAGGAGCGAGGATGCGCGGGCCGGGTCGCCGGGACCCAGCAGGGGTTCTGGGGACCGGGACCCGCAGGGCAGGGCGAGACGGGCGGGACGGGCGGGGCGGGGCGGCGCTGACCCCGCCCCGGGCCGGAGGGGCGGTGCTGCCTCCCGCCGGGCCCCGGGCATTGCCCTCCGGCCGCCTAGCCGCCCGCCCGCCGGCGCCCCGCTGTCCGCTGCCAGCTGCCGCGGGAGCCAGAGGTACTAGGGGCCGCGCCGAGGGTGCGGGGGGCGGGGGCTCCATGCAGATCCTGCGGCTCCCTGTGGGGAGAGGGCGCCTCGGGAAGGCAGGGGCTGGGGGGACCGCGAGGGGCGGAGGTGCTGGGCCGCCGCCCTAGCCCGGGCCACCTGTTCTGGAGGCGACATTTGTGCGCGCACGAACCCCGCGCGGCGGTGCCGGCCACCGCCTCCACCCCAACTGCGCCCCGAAGTGGAGCGCAGCGGCTGGACCCGGAGCCCCGGCCCTCTCGGGCAGGACGCTCCTGGCTCTGGAACCCTCGAGGGCAGCCCCGCCCGGTTGGGTCCCGGGGCTGGAGAGGGGGCGTCGGGGAGAAGTCAGGTTCGAGGCAGGCTCTGCCCGGCCACCTTGGGCGAGTCGTGCCCCTCCGTCCGAGGGAGGCCTGGGCGCCGGGCGGTGCTCGCCCCGGAGCGGATGCGACTGGGGACGGGGATGGAGAGCGTCCGGCAGGAGGGGGCTTTGCCGGGCTGGAGGCGTCGGCGCCGGCCTTGGGGAGGGTGAGGATTTGAACCTGCCCAGAAGCTGGAAGGGCCCTCCCCATGCGGGAAACGGCCTTGGTACGAGCTGGGCACAGAGCGAGCCGGTTGGAGTCGCCCGGCCTCCGCGCTCGCCTGGGATCCACAGGCGCCCCTCCCTCCTCTCCAGCTGGGGAAAATTGAGGGCTGAGCGGGAGCGGAACTGGGCTTGGGAGAGGCTCTGCTGGGGCACCTGGTTCCAGCGCCCATCCCATTTCACTGCCAGGGCCCTTCCCTCAGTTTCATCACCTGTCATCCGGGGGGATAAGTTCCCACCGCCTGGATAGTCTCGGCTGAGCCTCTGGCCCTGAGTGGGTTAAAGCGCCATCTCCCCTGCACCCACCTTTCCCTTACGACACCCTCTCTGCGGCTTCCTCCGCTCCGCCAATGTCGAGTGATTGACTGTTCCGCGAAGGCCCCTTGGGGTCACTTACCCTGCATTCAGCAAATAATCCCGAGCACCTGGTGTGTCTCAGGCCAGGTCTGGCCTTCCTGTTCCGCCACCAGCTGCTCAAAGACTACCCCTATGTCACCTCCTCCCAAAGAATGGGGGGGAGCCACCTTGCCCAGAGTCCCATAGCAGAGTGCGGATGGAGCCAGGCCTCCCTCAAGATTTCCCACAACCCTCTCCAGCCTCAAACCTTCTCCAGGACCCGAAACCCCCGCAAAAGGGGGTCCCCAAATCAAAGGAATACAAAGGAAAACAAAATATAAAGGTAAAGAAAGGGAGAGGAGAGATGGAATCCTCTCTGTCATTAGTTTTTTGTTTGTTTTTTTAGGGTCTCCCTCTGTCACCCACGCTGGAGTGTTGTGGCAACTCATTGCAGCCTCAAACTGCTAGGCTCAAGCAATCCTCCCACGCCAGCTTGCTGAGCTGAGACTGGGGGCACACACCACTACACCCAATGTTGTCATCAGTTTGTCTCTCAAACATTTTTCTAATGCCTTGGGTGCCTGTCGTTTCTTGTCTGCTAGGACAGCTCAGTATTAGAGGATAAACTCCGAAATGGACAGCCATCTAAAAAATATGTTTTGTTTCCTTCTACTAATTGAAGCCCTCTAGCTGCTAGTTTAATGGGTCCATTAATTTCCAGTTCGTGTGATGGGCCCTGGGACCCCAGTGTGGGGCAGGGTTGACAGAATCTCTGCAGGTGGTTTGTGTGGAACACAGGAGGTTGTGAACGACCACATCAGCCCCAGCTAGCAACTCCCAAGCCCACCTGGCTATGGGGCCACTGGGTTCAGACCTCCAAGGATGCAGTTCAGCTGGGGATGCAGGTCCCTGAACGTGGTGGCAGGTGGACGGCTCCACCACCAAGCTGGCCATCTGAGTTCTGAAGTGTACCTCCTCTCACTCTTCCCAGCTGCCTCCTTCTTTGGGGACCTCCTAGGTGTGCTCACAAAACTCCTGTTGATCACCCTGCATTTTTATCGGCTCACCGCATCCTTCCCTCCAGATTGGAAGCTCCTGGAGGGAAGGAGCCTTGTCCAGATCCCAGAGCCCAGTGCCAGGCCTGGCACCTAGCAGGTGCTTGCTGAATATTGTTTGAATGAATTAACCGAAAGAAGTAGGAAAAATCATTCCTGTTTGCATACTTGTAGATAACTATTGTTAACATTTGCCTTTTTTTGCCAGACCTTTAAAAACACGTTTTCCCAGTCGGGCGCAGTGGCTCATGCCTGTAATCCCAGCACTTTGGGAGGCTGACGCGGGTGGATCACTTGAAGTCAGATCACTTGAAGTCAGCCTGGCCAATATGGTGAAACCCCGTCTCCACTAAAAAAAATACAAAAAATTAACCAGGTGTGGTGGCACGTGCCCGTAATCCCAGCTACTTAGGAGGCTGAGGCAGGAGAATCACTTGAACCTGGGAGGTGGAGGTTGCAGTGAGCCGAGATCACACCACTGCACTTTAGGCTGAGCAACAGAGCAAGACTCTGTCTCCAAAAAAATAAATAAATAAAATAAAACAAATAAATAATAATAAAATAACACGTTTTTCCATATTTGAATATGTCTATATAAAATATTTTTCCATTGGTATAATTTCATGAGCATTCCTCACCTCAAACATTTTTTATATTTTTCAATGCTTACATTTTGCTACATCATGTTGCGTTACGGGATCTCTTTTGACTTTTTAAAAATATATTTGGCTCTTTTGATAATGTTACATTGAATTTCTGCGTACATTTATACATGGCCAGATCTTTCCTGGGAAGGAATTAACCTGGTAATCAGTGCGTATGAACTTCTAGAATGGCTGTATCTAGACCCAACTAGATATTTCTTCGTATTTCCTAGAAATGAAATTCCTGGGTCAGAGTATGAGCAACCAGGTTCTTTGTGTGTTGCTTATTGATTGGTTTGAGTTGATCAATAAGGTTTTGCCCCTTGTCTGGTTTGTGTGTGGCAAAGATCTTTCCCCAGTTTATCATTTGGCTCTTATTTGTGAGGGTGTGTGTGGGTGTATGTCTGTGAGAGAGAGAGATAGAGAGGAGCAGCAAGTTTTTTTATTTTATCTGTGTGTGTGCTTTCTGATGAGGGAAACCTGGCGGCATTTATGAGCTGATGGAAAAGCCAGAAGAGAGAGCTCAGCTCCCTCAGACCTGGGAGAAGGAGGGACAGGTTAACAGGCTGAGGTCTCTGAGGACTGAGGAGGTGGGAGGATGCCGTGCTGCTCCCAAGGGATCTCCTGAGCTGGTGAGGACAGGAGGCAAGAGGGAGGGGCTGGGGGGGGACACTTGATGAATTGGCTTTGATCTTCCCCAGAGAGAGTTGGAAAGTCAACGGAGGGGAGGGCCCCAGTCCCTCGGTGCTTCCTTCCTGGGAGGGAGCAGGTGTGAACACTCCCATTGACGACTATGCAGGGAGGGGAGAGCCTAGTTCAGGGGGAGTCCATGCAGAGCCAGGTTCAAAGCAGGCTGTCCACATACAAACCACATGCCCTTGGGAATTGCTCTTCTCTCCGAGTCTCCGTTTCTTGTAGCTATTAGGAAGTGGCAGCTCTTTGAGTAAGTGCCCTTCCCTCTCCCATCTGCCGCCTTTGTCTTCCCTATGGACAGACCCCGGGGGTGCAGAAGCTTCCAGCTGTGCAGTTGGCCACAGGACTAGGGGAGCCCCCTTCCCTTCCAGACCAGTGTCCACATACCCTCCCCTGTGCCAACACACCTTCCCCTGTGCCCACACTCTCACCCACCACAAGCCTACTCCAGCAGGAGCACCACAGCCTTCTGGGGTCATGATGAGCTGGCAGACAGGGAGCCAGGTGGACCAGCACATGAGAGCAAAACAGGAAGAGTGTCTGTCTTCACCTTCGCTGTTTGAAAGTCATTGTCCCAGATATAGGTACAGGACCCAGAGAGCCCCAATCATCTGTGGCCATCATCTGTTCCTTCCCCTTCAGTTTGGGGTGGGCCTCTTTCCACTGAGCTCCCACTAGGTACCAGACACTGTTACCTGACCTTACCAGACCCTCTCAGCCACCATGCTCTGTTATTCCCGTTTTACAGACAAGGAGACTGAGTCTCAAGTCAAGCGCCTCCTCTTGGCCACAGTGAGATTGAGCTGCTAGCCTGGTGCAATCCCAGGCGAATGAGGCTGAACTACAGGTAGACTCCTTTCCCCCAGCAAAGGGTGTTTGAACCCCCCTCTGCCGCTGCCCAGCAGGTCTTGGTTTCCTCCGCACTTACACTGTAGTTAATCATAAGAGGACCTGCCACACGCGATGGTGAGGGATTAAGCAAGTCACAGCAGAAAACCACTTTGACCAGCGTCTGCACAGGGTCAGTGCTCAGAAAATACACGCCATTGTTATTATTAAACCACACAGCTCCAGGCCTGACAGTGAGCTTTTAATAAATGTTAACTCAACACTGGAGAAGCCTTCTCACCCCGTCAGCAGTGCAAGCAGAAACAACAATGAGATCACATTTGCCACTCACCCGAGTGGTGGAGAGGACGGTCATGCAGCCCACTCACCCTCCTATGCCCTGGGAGAGCCTGTGGTGAGGCAAGTGTGCCCTGAGCCTGGAGTAGGAGCGGGAGAGAGCAGGTTAGGGCTCCATATCTGAAGCTTTAAATTATATTTCCGAGGCCAGGTGCGGTGGCTCACGCCTGTAATCCCAGCACTTTGGGAGGCTGAGACGAGTGGATCACCTGAGGTCGGGAGTTCAAGACAGCCTGAGCAACATGGAGAAACCCTATCTCTACTAAAAATACAAAATCAGCTGGGTGTGGTGGCGCATGCCTGTAATCCCAGCTACTTGGGAGGCTGAGGCAGGAGAATCGCTTAAACCCGGGAGGCAGAGGTTGTGGTGAGCCGAGATTGCGCCATTGCACTCCAGTCTGGGCAACAAGAGCAAAACTCCATCTCAAAAAAAAAAAAAAATTGTATCTTTCCAGCCAGGTGTGGTGGCTCACACCTATAATCCCAGCACTTTAGGAG